TTCACATCACTTCCCAGCCTCCCCCCCCCAATCCCAATCCTCCTTCCCCCTCCCTCCCCCTCCCCCCTTTCTTCTAGTTCTTGTTCTCCAGTGTATGAGCTCCCCAGTCATTGTTGATGCAGGGGGTAGGGCATTAGGATTACAAGCAGCTCTGGTCCCCAACACATGACAGTGACACTGATTAAAGGGTAAGGCAGACTGTATTCAGGATCATCCTTATTGATATAGGGATTGCTCTGATGGGCTGTGGAAGTGTAAGAGAGAGATAGAGATCAATAGATAGAAAATGATTAAGAGGAGACATTAGGGGTAATGGGGAGTTTGGCTAAATCCACCTAACAGTGTTTTTGCTGAAGCCAGTCCACAGTGATCGATCAAACACTGCCTGGGGATGATGAAGGATAAGGAACTCCCATCAGAGAGAGAAAAATCATCTATCAAGGATAGAAGGTTCAGGCTAAACCAATTTAGGAAAATGCTTGCTAAAATCCAGTGGTGCCTACAGGCAGAGACAGAAGTCATGTCCTAGTTTGGAAGAAGATTTAGAGAAGCCTGTATCAAGTGTAGTCAAGGAAAGATTCTTGTCACTACCCATGCTTAGATAGCGAGGGATGTGTACTTAATGTCTGTTGCTTTGTTTGAATGTATCCTCAAAATAGCATGAGGGATGGTGAGATATGGATAGATGACTAATGAAAAATGTGCTATAAAAGTGGGGTGCTGGTGGGTGCTCACACCTATAATCCAAGGGACTCAGGAGGCTGAGATCTGAGGATCTCAGTTCAGAGCCAATCTAAGCAAGAAAGGATGTGAAACTCTTATCTCTAATTAACTAGTGGTGCTGTGGCAGAGTGGTAGAGTGCTAGCCTTGAGCAAAATATCTCAGGGACAGTGCCAAGGCTCTGAGTTAAGCCCCAGGACTGACTAAAAAAAATGTGCTATAAGTGTTGAAGGTCTTGGCAGTAGACATATAGGTGTTACCTATAGATTTCTTCAATACTTCCCTGTATATCTGAAGAAATTTCATGACAGAAAAATGTTAGGGACATTAAAGTAAGTCATGACAGAAGTGAGGACACAGCCAAGTAGGAGGGACCTACATTTTGGTAATGCACATCACCTGGTACAGCAAGGTATCTGGACAGTTGTCAGCCAGTGCTGTTTTCCCAGAGGCCTCGCTTAGTGTGTGAACACACAGGATCTATTACCCCTTGCTGTCGGGGAATCTACTGTGGTGTGTCATCTGACTTCTGCATGACGTCTTTCCTTTCCTTCTGCTTTGGAAGATGATAGTGATTTTCAGCTGCCGTGGCTGCCATGGACTGAGCTAATGCTTTCTGTTTTTCTCCTTGTCTTTCTCTATGGCAACTTTTAGAGTTGGCGTTGATCCAGATCAAGACCCACCGCCCAACAATGACAGCTTTCAAGTCTTACAAGGGGTAAGTCACAAGATATGCTTCTTTTCAGGGAAGACATGATTAAAAAAATAATGTTAAAATTTCTGTACTTTGGTGGCTCACACCTATAATCCTAGCTACTCAGGAGGCTGAGATCGGAGGATTGTGGTTTGAAGTCAGCCCAGGCAGAAATCTGCATAAGATTGTATCCAATTAAACAGCAAAATAAAACAGAAGTAGAGCTGTGGCTCAAGTGATACAGTCTTGAGTGAAAAACCTTAGGGACAGTGCCCAGGTCCTGAGATCAAGCCCCAGTACTTACACAGAAAAAAAAAATGTTTCAATAGAGGGGGCCCTTGCTCCATGTGTGTACTTTACTTAGACTCCCTCATCATCATCTTGACCATGACTTTCTGAGGTACCTACTGTTACCTCCATTTTCCAGGTTAGTAGCTAGAGTGAGGACTTTGGGGAGTCACGTGAGACTAAGGGAATGAAAAGATCGGCATTTTCTAAAGCAAAATATACAGGAGTAGCTGGATATCAGCATGGAGAGAGTTCATCTGGATGCTTCTTGACCAATCAAAATAGCATGCTGTTTCCCACGGCTCCTGATTCTGCACTCCCTCCCCTGCAGAAGGAAGGAAGTGAAACAATTTTCTGGGTTACTGCGGATCTTATTATATATCTAGTAAAATCTCACACGCTGGAAACACTTTGCTTGGAATTAGACTTAATAATGAACTTTCTGACACTTTCCCATGAAAATATTTGAAGAACAGCAGATCCAAAGTTCTCAAGGCTCTGGCATTTACTCCAAGCAGTGATGATTAAAATAGCCCTCCTCTCCAAAGGAAGGGGACCCTCCATTTGTGGTCCTACGTAGACTGGATGGGCTGTTAATATCTTCTGTTGTAGTCTTCATGTCCCTCTCCCCACCCCTCACCATTCACCAACATGGAGCTGTATCATAGCTTTTCCCTCACCTCCTTCCCAGTTTCACAGTCATGAAGAAAGGCCCTTAATGTTAGTTCCCCTGACCTTCGAAAAGCCCTTAGGATGGCGGCCAGGCTGGGAAAAGCAGGCAACCTTCCAATTCTATTCCCCAGGCTCCTCTCAGTAGTGACTCACATCCTTATGCAGAAAAAGCTTTCTCAGACTCTCCACATCCTCACAGCCTGACCTTGTCCTTGGGAGTCTCTAACAGCAGGACTGGGAGCACTCAGCTATCATGGGAAGACAAGGGAGATAACTGTGGATGAAACCTTAACCCCTGACAGTTTCCCTTGAAGGAGGTCCAGATTACATATGAAATTGAAATCATAAGCAGAGACAGTCTCATTGTTTTTTTTTCCACTGGAAAAGGAAGACTAGGCCTTTCTCTTGACCTCTTTGTTTCTAAATGGTCAACTTAAAAACATCAAGCAAACAGCAATCATGATATCTGGGGGAAAAGCATTTCTTTTTTTTGGGGGGGGGTCTGGTCGTGGGGCCTGAACTCTTGGCCTGGGCACTGTCCCTCAGCTCTTCAGCTCAAGGCTAGCGCTCTACCACTTGAGCAACAGCGCCACTTCTGGCTTTTTTCGTTTTGCTTATGTGGTGCTGAGGAATCGAACCCAGGGCCTTGAGCATGCAAGGCAAGCGCTCTACCACTGAGCCACCTTCCCAGCCCCAGCATTTCTTTTTTTTATAGTTCGTTTTTTATTGTGAAAATACTGTACAGAGGGGTTACAATTACATGGGCAAGATAATGGGGAAAAGCATTTCTTATAGCAAGGATAATTTTTCCTCACTAGTTCTAGAAGTCTGAGATTGTAAACAGCATCATAGCTACAGAGCTGCAGGCCAGCTCATGTGGGACCAGAAAAGGCACTGTTGGCTGGAACTTTGGGTTCTGAGTGAAGAAAAGCATAAGAATATTGTGGGCAGACGTCAAACTTTGTGTCCCAGGCAACTTTGACTCATTAGAATAAACAAGAACAGAAAAATGCTATTGCTTTGTTTCTCAGGAGGTCTTGGTGACTCTGCAACCAAAACAAAAACAAGCCCAGTTGGAAGCAAGCTGCCCAGCCCCAGGGGTGACTTCTTACTCCATGAAAAGGGGGAGGACTTTTCATGCCAGACCAGACACAGCTGAGATGCCTTTTGGCCGGACATACAGACACATCATTTACTTCCTTCCTCATGTTTCCAGAAAAGTGCTCATTGATAAAGCCCCTTTGGGGGTACTTTTAATATATCAACCTGACCATCCCACAGCACAGGATCTACCTTAATGGAATGTGAAGGGAAGGAAATCGTGTGTGTGTGTGTGTGTGTGTGTGTGTGTGTGTGTACCATAAGAAAGGAGCTGTTTATAGTTGTAATGACATAGGACTTTGTGAGTAAGTTGGCTTCATTTGTTTCTGGGGCCTCCCCCAATCTTCCTGCAGGCTGAAATCGGATACTCAATCACCCACATCTTTAATTTAAAACAGTTGATGAAATGACTTACCTCAGATGACTATTATCTGACCTCCCTTCCCCATCCCAACTTTCCCTTTTTGTCTTGCAATTGCCTCCTTTGGTCCCATGATTTCCCTTTCCCTGATTTTGTTTATTTTCTAGCAACTTTAAATTTTAACTTGTTCATCAACTTGACAGATATTTATGGAGCATCTTTTATATATCATACCTTCTATCATTTTTTAGGAATGTGCCTGCAACAAGATAGACAAATCTCTGTCCCAAAGAGATTGGACTTAGAGACATTGTGCCAAGAGAAGAAGGATCCCAGACCCATCCTGTTTACTCAGAATGTCCTGATGGCCCAGTAGAGAATTTTCTAGAAATATAGACTCACACTTTAACCCATCATGCCAAAGCAGAGTCTCAAATTTTCTTTCCCTTTTCTTTCCTTCTTTTTTCCTTCCTTCCTTCCTTCCTTCCTTCCTTCCTTCCTTCTTTCTTTCTTTCTTTCTTTCTTTCTTTCTTTCTTTCTTTCTTTCTTTCTTTCTTTCTTTCTTTCTTTCTTTCTTCTTTCTTCCTTTATTTCTTTCCTTTCTTTCCTTTCTCTCTTTCTTTCCTTTCTCTCTCTCTTTCTCTTTCTGTCTCCTTCTCTGTCTATCTCTCTTCATTTATCTTGCAATTTCTCCAGGTCATTTGTGTATAAGACAAGAAGTAGTCCTGGGCTAGATATGGTGGAACTCTGAGAAAAGTTTTAAGGGAAAGGAAATTACTAATGTAGCAACGTCAGAGACTTAACTCCTAGTTTTAACCACTTTGTTACAAGCACTGATGTTAGGTTCATGACATGAAAGAAAAAGTGTCAATCAAGTAACATCAATTATTTTTTCTCTTTTAGTTTGGAGGGATAAGGTAAGAAAGTACCACAAAGCTCATGGCTGTCTGAGAGTTCAGCAGGTCAGAAGTGTTCAGCTGAGCAGGCTTCTCCAAGTGTGGGTAGGGCTGGGTTCTGGAGAGGAAAGCCACTTGCAGGTTTGTTCAAGTTGTTAGGAGAATTCACCTCCCTGCAGAACTAAGGTCTCATGTCCATTCTGTCTGTCTGCTTGAAATTGTGCCTAGCTTATAGGAAGCCACCCACTTCCCTGGCTTGTGGCCTCCTCTATCTTTGAAACCAGCATTAGCAGGAAAAGCCCTTGCTGTGCTTCTGTTGTACCTCTCTGCCTCTTTTGTACTCCTGTCTGCTCTTAAGGGCCTTTGTGATTGACCTGCACCTACCTAGATAACTGTAAATCCATCCATGAGTCCCTTTTGTGTAGTAGTATATATAGACTCTGGAGAATAGAATGTCAAAATCTTTGGGTGAGCCAGGCACTGGTTGCTCATTCTTGTAATCCATGGTACTCAGAAGGCTGAGATCTGAGGATGTTGGTTCAAGCAGTAAAGTCCATAAGACTCTTTATCTCCAATTAACCATCAAAAAGCCAGAAATGGAGCTGTGGCTCAAGTGGTAGAGGGCTAGCTTTGAGTGAGAAAGCTCAGGCCCTGACTTCAAGACCAGGTTAAAAAGAAAATCTTTGGATGGCCATTGTTCTGCCTACCACAGGCTCCATCCTGAAAAAAAAGCAAGCTGTTTAAAACACACATTCTTTTTAGAATAGATTAAATATAAAGACATCACAATTCATTATAATGTTATAGAAAAATTAGTTAAAAAATAGTAGTACTTGACTTTTTGTGTTAGTAATGAGTTGAATTTGATCTAACACACCCCTAGCCCTTTTTGCTTTAATTTGTTTTTCAGATACAATTTCAATTGCCTCAGACTATGATCTTTCTACTTTGGCCTCTCAAACATTTTGCAGTTCTTTAATCAACTTTCTTTTTATCATGACACGTGTGTGTGTGTGTGTGTGTGTGTGTGTGTGTGTGTGTTCAGTTTCTTTTTTTGGAAAGGGTCAGGTGCTGAGTCTTGTTCCTCTTTGTCTTTCTAACACCACTCATGGAGCCTAGCACATAGTTGGTACTTAATGAATACAGAAAATAGACCCTCTGTTATATGCTCAAAATGGCAATGAACTGGGTTGGCAGTATTTTTTTTTACTTTTTGCCAGTATGGAGGTTTGAACTCAAGGCCTGTACTTGCTTGACAGCTTTTTGTTCATTATTTTACTTTATTTTATTTTTTGTCAGTTGTGGGGCTTGAACTCAGGGCCTGGACACTGTCCTTCAGCCTCTTTGTGCTCAAGGCTAGTGCTCTACCACTTGAGCCAGAGGGCCTACTTCTAGTTTTTGAATGGTTAATTGGAGATAAGAGTCTCATAGGGACTTTTCTGCCTGCGCTGGCTTCAAACCATGATCCTCAGATCTCAGCCTCCTCGGTAGCTAGAATTACAGGAGTGAACCACTGGTGCCCAGATTTGTTTGTTATTTTGATGGGGAGTGTCTTGGACTTTTCTGCCTCAGATGGCTTCAAATTATCATCCTGTGGATCTCACTCAGTCTTCTGACTAGCTAGGATTACAGGCATGAGCCACCAATGCCTGTTAGCAATATTTATTTTTTGAAGGAGGTTCTTTAGCAATAGTGTCAGTAAAAAA